ATTCATTCTTAAGGAATTCGATAATGATTACTAAAGATCGTGACACAATACCTACGCTTAGGTACGCTAGTTATAATAAAAATATGCATTTCATGTCTCTTAATCTTTTTTGTGAGATCTACGTATAATTTCTAGTTTAACTTTTTTTTTGCTGGTACTTTATCTCGTTTGGCAGTATAGAACCTTGAAGGGACCGTGAAAAAGCCACTATTTATGAGGGTCTATTTTTTAACTGGAGTAATGAACACCACGTTCTGTAAAATTGAATTTTGAATGTATTGAAAATAAAGTGTTTTATATAACAGTAGGTAGGCTCGTTTCAGGGACGAGATCTTAGCACCGAAAATATAGAGGGTGATTCAAAATGGAATGCAAAGGTTTTAAGGGCGTATTTACCACCCAAAAGTAAGAACATTTCTTCATATAATCGGTTGTTGGTTTCGTTTTCTAGAGACAGAGTGTAAACGATTTTTCCACATCATCCAACTCTACTCTTTTTGTATTGGATTCGAAGCACAATAAAATTAGTAAAAAAATAGTCGAAAACAGCTTCATTTTGAGTATTCTGTGTAGCTATTCTATCTAGTAGACAACAAAATGTGGCATAAAAATAACACAATCAACAGGGAAGTGAAAATAACCACACACGCCTATACTTTTGTGTATTGCGATCTTCTCATATAACTACACTTGCTTTAAACCCTAAATGGACGCTTTTCATTCAGATGAATTGGACAGCCGTCGTAGTGTTATAAATTCTTGCTACCCCCAAAGCATAAGTTGTTATTTGACTAAGATCTGGGTCCCTTAGGCATACTGGGGTACTTATAACCTAGCGATAATCTTGAAGGGTGAACTATATTTCGCGAATTTTCTGTTTGAAGATTCTTAATTTAATTTTAGTAAAATATTTATAATGCAAAAATAATTTGTTTTTAGCCCCCCCCCCCCCCCCACACACACACACAAATCAAAGATCAGACTTGTTAATGCAGCATTACGGTATTTTAAATATCCAAAGTTAATTTTTTCGGCATCTAATGTAAAAAACAAAATTATTTTTTGTACATCATTACAAAACTAAACTCCTTAATAACGTAGAAAGGATGCGATTTTATGCATCAGATTATGTATTTTCTTAGTGTTTCAAAATATTACATGGTTCTTTTGGATCGAAGGACAGTGAAACCGAATGCAAGCACACGGGTGCGTATGACTCTCTACATTACATTATAGTTTATTTTATTTAATGTGTGATCAAATTAATTTCTACTACAATAATTCAAAATTTGTTACTTATGAAATGTATGTACGTGGGTTGAGTTTATAAAATGTCTGCGAAGCATAAATACTAGGTAAACCAGGAGGTAAACTACCTAATTTACTAATATATTATAATATATTATAATATTGCATTTTCAGTGCATTTTCTTGATGAATTTTCCAATTGGGAAAGGGGGAGAGGCCAATTTCCTTAGAAACTTGCGCTTTTAGTTTAGTACATTTGTTATGATTTTTGCGGTTTTTTGCATTCGCTTGTTTCTTGTCACTTGTGAACATTTGCAACTACTTTTACCAAAGTATGAGCAGAAATCATTCGCACGGATCCGTAGACCAGGAGACCTTAATACTTGTTTAAATCCTGTATTAGATAGATAGATCTTTATTGTGTGGAACGTGTCTGTGCACATACACTCGTCAACAATTAATAAAAATAATACCTATAATAAGTAGGTATATAGAAACATGCCAATTAGAATTACAGATATAAAAATATAAATGTAGGTACATATAAAACGACATTACATTAAAAAGACAAAAAATCACAAAAACATAAACAAATTTGTTAAATAGATTTGCACTCACGGACGAATTCATCAATAAAATAGAACGCATTTTCAATGAGGTAATTTTTGATTTTTTTTTCTTGAAGGGCACAAGTGACAAACAAGTGACAAACATGTCTCCTCCACGTCTGCTATTTTCTTTACATGATTACCCCCGTTGGCGGCTGGACCCTATGTTTTCGAGGTATAGTAGCCAGGGATTTGTGTTTCTGTCATTGACTTCGATCCCTATTCAGAAAACTCGCCCCCACGTAAATTTGCTTCCAAAAATCCACCTCTAAAATAATATATGCCTCCCTACGCGGAAGACTCGCTTCAAAGAATTACTTGTAACAAAACTCGCTCCGGTTAACTCGCACCAAAAAATCCGTCCCTGAAATATCCGGCATTAAAAAAATTTACTATGAAAATTATAATCTTAAATCGTAGATTCGTAGCCAGTTTTGTTTGATTCATTTTGAAATTATGATAGTAGCCTCTTCTGTGACAAATTGACCCTTTTAAAAATCTCCAACAAGTGTTTTTTTTTGGGTCTGAAAAATGTAACTTTGGGTATCGCCTACAAGCGCGTTTACTGAATCGAATTATCCTGCATGAAATTCTTTCCGGGTAGAATTTTAAAGAGGTCGGAATTCTCATGGTGCGAACATTCCGGAGGTAAATTTTTCACACTTACCCCTAATCATTACATTACATCCTATATGCTCTGCAGTGTTTCTCAACCTTTTTTTACTGGTGGCCTACTTGTGAATATTATTTATCTCTGTGGCCCCCCACCGCGTTACACACGGGGTATGGAATACCCCCTGAAGGGGGGGGTCATATCCCGAGAATTTTTTGAAATTTTAGTAGCTTTATACGTGTTTTTTAGACTCATTTACGTCTTTCTCAGACTGCACAAAAATGTAGGTATACATGTATAGGCCATTAAATGTGGCATTTCAATATTTTAACAGAGATTAGATCAAAATTAATTTGAGTTATTTTTTAGTTATCAAGAAACCATTTTCAAGCTCATTTTGTTTTGACGCCGAAATTTTTTTTAAAAATGCCTCTTTGAAAGTGTAGAAAAACTAATCTCTACAGAAAAATAATATCGCGTCTATCAATTTGATTCTGCGTTTGCTATTTATAAACATTAAAATGTAAAGTTGTGATTAGGATTTATTGCTTTCTAGGAAAGGTACTCTCAGTTAACACAAGGATAAGGGGTTATTGTGGTATAATTTTTGTACTGACCAATTTTGGTATATTTATTTCATTTTAATATTTCAGTAAGATATTGTGGCCCACTAGAAAAGTTTCCGTGGCCTACCAATATTCTGTCTTTCGTTTGTGGTCCCCAATAAATACGTCATAGGGGGCCTTATGGCGTTGGGAAATACTGCTCTATAGGTTTAGAGATTTACTGTAGAGCCAAAACAGTGTACCTACCTAACACTTAACAGTATTGAATTTTGGATATATAAATATCTGATTTTCATTGGCTTTGCCCTTGTCTTCTTATCAAATTTTTGAAGTGCTTGTTTTATTGTAGTGTTGCTTGCTTTAATCTATATAATACTTTATTAATTTTGCAGATTATGTTCTTCATTCGGAAAGCTTCTGTAAAAATTTCTCTGTCTACTTGACTACTTCTCTATAAAGAAATGCTGTTTTGATGTCACTGCCGGCCTTGTATGAAGGATCTGGATTACCCTTAACATAACACATGACGTATTTGCGTATAGGGTATAGGTATTTCACCACCAAAATCCGCTCCTTTAAAACTTAATTGCTATAATTTCATTAATTCTATAAGTATACTTATTTGAAAGATCTGATATTTCTATGTCCCCAATAGAATTACGCCCTGTGCAAGGTGCACACATTGCTCATCTCTCATTAGGGCACTGTGAAAAGATTATTCTTGCTATTAAGGACTCTAGAAGACTAGACAAAACTAGGAGAACCTTTAACACTGTTAATGCCTAATAAATCAGGACCTTAGCTTCGAACTATTTTACAGGGTCTACAACACTTTAGAAGACTGAAAGTGCTCTTAAACTTGAATGTAAACGAGGTCCTAGATATTTTCAAATCTAAAACCTAAAAATGCTCCATCTTCGGTGTCGCATTTTTATTAGTTGACAGTTTTTCTAATTGCTAGGCAACAGATTTTCATTACCTTAACAACCCAAATTTACTCGGTAAAATACAAACCTCTTGTGCAATTATAAGTAAAAAAATTTGTAGTTATTTGAAACTGAAAAAATTGTAGGTACTTTCACCAAGCCTTGTTAATATAAAATCATTTTTGTGGAAAGGAAAAATAAAAAACGGAAAAAAAGGTTTTCCGCAATTTTTCTCTGTTATTTTGGGGAAAGAGTGACGAAAAAATCAAAATTGCGTGAAAATGGCCATAATACGATTTTCGCCCCTTTTCACTATCTATACAAATGTCCTACTCAGAGTGGGCACCAGAGTACCAATCTCCGTATGAGTCCGTATGTAACCAATCTTGTGGCAGGCGATCAAAAATTAAATGAGTTGCTGTCGAGTCGCCTTTGGAAGTGCAAGTTAAGTACGATCAAAGGGATATAGTCTTTGGTACGATTTCCCATGGAAACAAAAATTCCAAATGTGACTCGTCAGCAACTCATTTTTGATCGCATAGTACCTACTCCACCCTAGCGAGAAACTCGATTGATCCTTAAAAACACCATCAACCAATTTGTTTTTTTGAAAATGTATAGCTTAGCCTGCTTGGATTTTTTGAGTTCAATGGGTTGATTAACCAAGATCTAACGTGACCTATTGCGTTGCCAAGTCTAAATACATGATATGATTGGATGGTCATCAACTTGACGTGATAGTGCTATACTGTGAGAATTCGAGCTTTGCTGACACGGCGGAAAGTAAAGTATCTTTTACGGTATCTGATGAAATAAGAAATAGACAGAGGAGGTAGGTCGGTGCCTCGCGTAAAAAGAAGCCGAAGACAAAGCGTGACGAGCAATACCTAATGAAAACATTTTGAATCATACGCTACCTGTTGCGCACGATCAAGTTGGCGCGTTCGTCAATGGGGGTTTGCGATTGACAACAAAAAAATCAAGGCGCACATGTTTAATTAGTATTCATTATCAGCGATTAAAGGCGAAGCGCGTCGTTGCTTAGTTTCTTATTTAATCGCCGGGTAATTTTCTTAATTGTCTTTTAAATATATTCAATAATTAACGCTAATGATTTACCCTATTTTTGTTTGCTTTCTAATCATTGGGCAGGCCAACACCCCTATACAATAAATATATCACGCTCGCTATACGGGTAGGATTCCTTTAAAAAGTGTTACAAGAAGTCAAAAAGTCGTGCTCTTTTTAAGGGGGGTCAACCACCCCACGTTAAACTTGCACGTGTCGAATCCCCGTTCAATGCAACGGACCTGTTCGATGATCAAATTCAAATCACAAACACACCCATCTCGATTTAACTGGACCGCTGTTTGAGCCCTCAATGTGAGAGCTCGTTCCAGCTAACCAGACCGATCTTAAATTAGCCCCGTTGTCTGAGTTAGGTCGAGTAAATGGTTGGTCTTCTAGACATCCACAATGCTCAAGGTCATTATAGTCGTAGTGGTGGTATTACGAGTCCGAGTTGCGCGGGGATCGAGTTGGATTTAGTTACTCGAAGGGTGCGCACCACTTACTTTTCTCCCTCAGTCGAAGGAACCCCTTTAAACGGGGATATGTTGTTACAAGATTCACTTCCTGGTTAGTGGTGGTGATTAGTGGGTGTCCGAGAAGAGGACAAATGTGAGTTAACGGGTATAAGTAGTTTACTCGTGGATTACAAGGACAACTTATTGCGTAAGTATTTAACTTTATTAGCGTTTTGCGCACACCCTCTTTTATATGGCGCATGACATAAGATCTATGTTTAAAATTTTAAGGCGATCTGTGTTACATATGTCGTAAAAAACCTTGGCATGTCCGCGTTAATTAAATTTTACACCTAATTTATTTTAAATCGTCTTGTATTCGAGGGCAGCGCTGGGCCGGGGGAAAAATGTTGATATAACGGAGCTTTTATTACATATCCGTGCAAAGAAGGGACGGCGAGAAACATGCGCGCTATTTCTTTATTGTTATCCTCTTATCAGTTATCAATTTATACAAACACGGCCTGTTTAAAGGCGATCCTGGGGATTCTTACAATTTAAATCTCGGCGCCCATACTTTAGCAACCCCGAACTACCCCGAATAAATCCGAAGCGGGTTAGAGATGGTAGATTGCTGACATGGCGCGTTGAGTGTAGTGGTGTAAAATTGTCCTGTGCAAGGATTCAACCCTTTTGGATAAGTGGCAACGTCTTAAAATAGGTTAGACATTTACATTAATTTTAGTAATAAGCACGCGTTCGGGTTTGCAATTAATGCAGAAAGTAGACCGCCTTTTTTACCCCTCGCGTTTAAATCAATATATTTCTATAAATCAATACTGAAACCCCCATCGTTCTGCCCGCAGTTTTTGCAAATGACGACCCAGCCTAAAACCCGCTTAAAATTCGTTCGTTCGCATTTTTAGTTCACCTAACGTGCCATGAAAGGGTTGCGTAAACTGCGACTTCATGATATCACACAGTAGGCGGGGTGTTGTGTGGACTAGCGATAACTTCGCTTTAAAATGGCGGAGGGCTGTGCTCATTTCGTACGCGAAAGGGGTTGACTTGGAAAACGCAAATTTTATTTAAACAACAACAAATTACGGTTTGTTATTATCTCCGTCTTTATCTAAACTTTTGGCTCGCATTAAATACCGCAGGTAAATTTGCTCGCTCCAATTTGTATGACTTGACACCTGTGTGATTCAACACGTTTTCCATTTGTTTTTATTTATCGATTTAAACTATTTCGTTAATTATTGTGTGACGATGGCCTTAGCTTCCTGCTCGACGATCGCAATCGTGGCCCTGCGAATTATGGTAATGGACTAGGTAGGGCACGGCCCTGGGAAAAATTCGCCTACCTATTAATTGAATGCAATTAACATAACATCTTAACAAACCTCATCCAAATGAACATTACTAATTCTAATTGATGGCCAAATACCTACTTAATGGGGCGAAAATCGGCTGAAATTCCAATCTACAGCGTGGTCGATTTTGGTTGTCACATGTCAGTGGCGTACAATCGACCATATACTTTTACCACACTTGTATTTTGATTAGTTTTGTGATATTTTCTTTCAATAAACTATTTTTGTTATTTTTCTTAAGTTTTGCCATATTCTGTCTTGAATATATAGGTACAATATCAAACTATTGGCAATTTTCCGAAGACTACTTATCCTTTAAATGGTGGTTAAAGTTGCAGGATGATTGTCTTTTTTTTGCAGCCCCTTGCAGGTAACGCACGCACTTTTTTGCCTCTACTTTTCCAAATCATTACTGAGGGTTTCACTACGTTAGAAACGTAATTCCAAATATAAACATTTTTGTTTCTTATTTTGGTCGAATTTGATATTCTGAAATATTTGCAATTCAAAGGTCTAAACAAATGTCAGTAAGGAAAAGCGGCACCTAACCCAACAAGATAACCCATTGCTCTTGAAAGTCCAAATTATGAAAATTACAAATTTCTTCTTTGAATCAGTCACTACTGAAAAATTCCTTTGAAATGCCAATATTTTTTCCCTTCATATTTTAGCTGTTAGTTACTTCTAGTAGCTAACGATACAGGGTGTCTCAAATGCAGTGGGGTTGCATGGATAACTTTGTTATTATTGAAGGTAGAGATTAGATTAAACATACTCATTCCATAATTGTAAAAGTTAACAGAAAACAGATTCTCTCTCGGATAGGAAAATGGAATCCCAGATTGCTGAAATATAAATGCCAACTTTCTTTTCTTAGTTTGGTGGCGTATCAGATTTTCATTATCAAGGAAAATTTTTTATTCACTTTTCAACGATGTAAGATATGTTTATGATTGAATAAAGAATACTAGTAAAATTAATATTTTTACATGTTAACTCGCATGGTAATCAAGTTTTTTGCCATTTTAATAATTAATTGCTCTAGGCGATCGTTAACCAAAGAATCAAAATTACTTTTTAACCATCTAAAATTTAAATACTGCTTTTTTTATTAGTTAGGGAAATATGGACTTTTGAAATGGTCAAAAAGTCTGCCTACTTGATTAAATTGTAAGAATAATTAATTTTACTAGTATCCTTTGCCCAATCATATAATGTCTTAATCTTTGATTGAAAAGAGAATAAAAACCAAGATAAAAACTATCTTGAATTACCTATGTGAAAATCCAACATGGCGCATTTAACATTTTTGAGTTTGCTACCGTTTCTGAGATAGGTATGTTTAAAATGCAACACCCTGTACATATATCTTCTATATATCTTTGCATTCTAGCCTTGAACTAAAAATAAAGACCTTATTTCCGAGCTTATTTTTTACGGTTTTTAAAAAGTAGTAGGCCATGGATTTATGATGATTTTGTTTTGTTTATTGTATCCATTGTAACAACGGCAGACGATACCCATCAATAAAAATGACTGACAGACATTTCAAAAATTTGAAAAATGTGATATACAGTGTGTCCTCGGATAGACTTCACTATACGCGTGATTATACGTGTAATTGAATCTGGTTTTGATGTTTGGGGATCCCGACCTACTTGGCCTGAAAAGAATTTTAAGTACATTTTTACCTACATCAAATTCCTGAGAAAAGCATGCAAAAAATTGACGTAAAAATATACACAGTGTTGCATTAAAAAATACCAACTTTGGGTCAAATCTCAGGAAATGTGGTCCACGCATTTCTTTGATTACGCCACTGGATTTTACGTTTTTACTGTCTTCGATAGGTAGTATGAAATGAAAATTTTTCGTTTACACCCTGTATTTCAGAAACAAACGAGCTAGATTGATTCTGCTTGTGGTATTAAAAGTTACAATAAAAAGTGGCACCGGGTCGCGAAAACCGCAAACAGCTGGGGACACTGTAGTCTCAACCAAAATAGGACACATGGTGCACTTAATTGTGCAGGTGGCATCTTCAGTGGACCTCGAACAACAATAACAATTAAGACAGTAGTGGGTGCCTTTTTCTGCAAAATTCCATACATTAAAATGATTCATGTAGCTATGACATTCAAAACAAAATTTCTGTCTTCTTGGGGAAAAATAGACCGTAAATTTCCACTAGGGTTCTCCCTTTCAAAGAGTATTGGCAGGCAAGGCAAAATTGCCGACGCATGCTTTCGACCTAGCTCTAAAATAGATAACTTGATCTCATGCAGGATTTGCCGATTTTAGTGTAGTGCTAATAGAAAAACGCCCAACCTTTAATTTCCTTATTAAAACTCGTGGGCTCATCTCATTACAGGTAAATGTAAAACTGTAAAAATGGCAACTCTAATTCTTGTAACTCGTATTGTGTAATAGTGGAGCTCAATTTTTGACTTGATTGGAGGGGTACTTTTCGTTTTTTAGCACTCTTAAAAACAATATTTGAAAACTAGAATAACCTCGAGAAAAACCCTCTAGAGACATTGTTATCAATTATTTTTGGGAGAACCAAAGTGGGGACCTTTCTTCGTGATTTTCTACTGTTTTGCAAACCGCTCCGCCCCCGGTTTAACTTTGCGGGCTCAAAAAATTGTCTTTTTTTCATACAAAAAGTTACGTTCCTCGAAGTTTCAGAGAGAGGTTGGAAGGAGGGGGGGGGGGGCTTCCAACCCCGATTTTTTTCGCAAAAATAAAAATAGAAGAATAGAAAATTTGAAAAATTTAGATACAACTTTTACTTAAAACATTTTCGGCTAAAATTAATAGTTTTGCCCTAAATTGCCATCACTTTTCACCCCTCTCAACCCCCGACATTTCTCCCCAGGAAATTCGACTGTTTTAACTATTTTTCCCCGATGTGGAATCAGTTTACCTACATAAAAAAAGCGGATTTGGATCGGGAACTAATAATTTTTGCCAAAACGTATTATACACTGTGTCCAAGATGTGTGGAAAACACAAGAGACTCTCTTGATCCCTAGAAAGCTCAAATTGTCTGAAGCGCTTTCTAGCTGTGTTAGCTACGGTGCTGCCCCTAGAAGTGGACATAGAGGTTGGAGTATTTTCCAATTTTTTCCGCTGATTTTGTAGTGACCTACGCTGATGAGGGAGAATGTAATATGGTTGTGGTATCTAAGCTTATGCCTAAGGGCTTTAATTAATTACCACTTTGTTTCTACACATTGACAGGTCGTGGAATTTTATTTTTAGTCAATTGCCCGATTTGGCTTTACCAAACGTATCTCATAGGCCTAGAATATAGTACTGTGTCAAGGCCACTTATTGAAAAATAACAAAGTATATTAAACAATAATGTAGAAATAAGTATTTTTTGGTAAGTCATCACATTTTTTGCTGTTATCATTGCATGTTGGCCAAACACTAATTGTCTGTTTGTATTTACAGTGTAGCGCTAATAAGCACATCTCTTCAAAATAGCGCCATTGCCACCAATGACAACGTTAAACTTTCGATATCCATACACATCGCAGTTCAAATCATCAGGGAACGGACCCCATCAAGCTTCAACTATGTCTTCCCAACGTTTTTGTTTACGATGGAACAACCATCAGTCAAATTTACTATCAGTATTCGATCAGTTACTTCACGACGAAAGTTTCGTAGACGTTACGTTAGCAGTCGAGGGACAGTTATTGCGCGCTCACAAAATGGTCTTGTCGGCGTGTAGTCCGTACTTTCAGGCATTATTCGTCAATCACCCCGATAAGCATCCGATTGTCATTCTAAAAGACGTTCCGTATAACGATATGCGAAGTCTGCTCGATTTCATGTACAGAGGGGAGGTGAGCGTCGACCAGGAACGATTAACCGCCTTTCTGAGAGTCGCCGAAAGTTTACGGATAAAAGGATTGACGGAAGTGAACGAAGAAAAATGTGATACTATTACTTCATCCCTAATGCAGCAGCAGCAGCACAACCAAATAAACAATAACCCCCTCCCCCACCTGCAAAGGTTACAACCGCAAAAGCGATTCGGCGCCACCTTAAATATGCTCGGGAACGCGTTACTACAACCAAAGAGGAAACGGGGCCGGCCGAGGAAGTTATCGGGCAGTTCGAACGGCGTCGACGACTACGATCGGTCCGACTCTTTAATTCAGGGCAGTCCGGAGATGTTGGAGGTCAAGATGGGCATGGACGGCTTCACGGGCAACAACTCGGATTCGAGTAGTGGCAAACCGGAAGATAGAGATACTGATGGCGATGTTAAGATTAAGTCTGAACCTGTACCTGGTACGTCGAAGGAGCCGATCTTCAATAATGCTGTTACGAAGAACTCCGAAGAATTTACGTCCTCAGGTAAGAGATTCTGTAATTTTCTAATTTCGAGATAAAATTTGAAAGAAGGTTGAAAAGACAAGATTCTCATGTCCTAGTGTGATTTTAGAGGAGCGTAATTTTTTAAGTTGGTAGTGTTACCAACATGAGTTCTGACTTTTACACTGAATCGTATATTATATTCGTGGGCAATACAATTTTAGTATAAAAGGTTTTCATTAAAGGATGTGGAATATGAAAATATGAGAAGATGATTAAGTAGTGAATATTCTCCACAAAAATACATTTTTTTAATGGAACCCCCTGTATTTAACTGCATTTTTTAATTCTAGGTAGTTTTAAAGATAATTCGATTTATAGGCTTTCTTTGTAGATGCAAAGTTACAAAACTTCATATTAAAAAATTTCACTTTTTTAAATGGAACACTGTATATATTTTTTATTTTTTACAATATAAAAACCAAGAAAACCAATATATTTTTTGATACGAAACGTTATTGAATTCTAGGATAATAGTGTGTGTGAATGTACGTTAACAACTACGACATGTTTATTTTGGTTCAAATAATTTTTTTATTCAAAAACAGCATAAATTCTCATGAATTTAACATATGTATAATTAAACATTAATCTACATAAATAAAATACACATGCAGCGCGTCTGGATTATAGAGGAGCGCCCGGACTATCTTTGTGACAGGCCGTCCGGGTTACTGGATGTCCAGATTAGCATGTGTCCGGACTAAAGAAGTTGCACTATAAAAAAAACTTGTACAATTACACGTGGAATTAAAAAATGCATTCAAATACAAAAAAAAGGACCTTTTTGCCCCCCTACTTTGTGAGCGCACCCTGTATAATCCAAAATATTTTTAAAATGTTGAGAATTTTCCACCATATCGGTACACAAAAACGCATGAAAAATCGTTGAAGGCATTAAGTTACCTCGTGCAATCGTTCATTCATCCTGTACAAATAAAAGGGAAATAATTCGAGGGGTTGACCACTTGACAATTTTGAAATAATAGTACCACTTATAACATGGTATTTATGTTTTGTTAACAAAAAATATTAAAATTGGGGGGGAATCTGCAATGTAATTTTAAACGCGTTTTTTTAGTCACAAGGCAATTTTGCCCCCGTTTAATGCTACACTGTATCTCTCACCATTATGGACATCCCAATGGTTACTCACGAATTTGAACCACTTTGTACACTGCCAAAATTTTAAAGAAATCAAAATATGTAACCGTTTTGCAAAAAAATATCTTTGTTTTTTCCCGTTTTTTGGTAATAAAACCCTGTATAATTTTTGTAGATTGTACATGTAAAAAGAAAGCCTTTCGAATAATTTAATAGCAATTATGCGTTGCTATTAAAATAGAAAAAGGCTGGTGCCGTAGCGGCGCTTCAATTTTTTTTCAAAAGTAATGGGTCGGATTTAAATCTTTAGGAAAAAAATCTACAATTTTCCTTTGTTTTTCGGCCACTCTTGACTGTTTTGGTTAATCCGATTTTGTTCACATTTTTGATATGTATATTATCATATCCAAAGTTGCGTTTAACCCAAACGGTCAGAGTGGTTGAAAAACAAAAGATGATTTTTTCAAATGATTTAAATTAACAGCATTGTAGTTGTAAAAAAAAAATCCTTGCATTTTACTTTATGTACCTATACTAATCCATGTATTAATAATGCCATTTGGAAGGTTTTATTAAGCATATTTTTACATATATTATTATTGCTTATTCAAAACGCTCCCGGCCCTTTAGGAACGAGAACATATGTTGTTTAATTAAGAAAAGTTGTTTGGAGTAAAAAACTGAGTAAATGTGCAAAATTTTTAAAGACCTAGGCCTACTTTGGTTTTTTTAATATGTATTTTTATTTCTCAACTGTATTTTTTGACGAAATTCGAAAAAATGTGACAGAACAGTACAAAAAAATCTTAA